AGCTGTCAGCAATATAAGAAAATTTAAAGAGCTTAATTAGTTGAAATATGATTACTTTTCCCCCAAATGAGGCCTATTTTGAATTTCCTTTACAAACATTATGTCGGGTTGGCTTCGAATTAAAGTAGAATAATATATCGTGTTGTGTATACTCAAATGTAACAATAATAAGGTAGACAACGACTGATAGAGACACTGTTTCATCAGTATATATTGGCGTTGGCATTTTATGTACCCATTTGATTTTTATGTATTCGATCTAATGGCGTAAAAGTGTGATACATATATGGTGATGATATACACAAAGTTTCATTTCCAACATTATACTTGTACATGCACAATAAAATTGCGAACCAACTCACTCGTGGATCATTCTGAGACAAAGGGGATTTTTGGATATCCTATCTCAATCAAGCTTTAACTTTGTTATTTTGTGATCACTTGGGATAAGAGGACAAGAACGAGGGAGTAGGAGGACAAATTCATAGTACTCTCTTTTGTTTACCCTTCGTGGCTAGCATTTTGTACCGTGTCCAACTCATGACCTACAAAGATATTCTAACGATCCATGCATATATTACTTTCTGTTATTATGAAAAAAGTGCATAATAGCTCATCTATTATCTTAGATTCATTCCCGATTTTTTGATTCTTTCGTGTTACTTGATGATATCAGTCTTTTTGTAGAAAGAAGCTACAACAGTGTTAGAGATATGTAGCATTAATTTTTCATGACAGATGGCAATGTAGAGCATGAAAGCTGTAGGGGCAGAAGTGTTTATTATCTTCCTTCATCTCATTCATCTTTATTTTCTTGATTCCCACCAAGCACCTTTCAATTCAGAGAGCACACTTGTTAAACTCTAGTTATTGTTCCCACAAATACAACGTGTATGCATGCATGTAAAAATTTTACTTTATTCAGGCTCTAAGTTACTCACTCGCATTCTGTAAGAGAAAAAAAATATTAATAAAACTTGACAAAAAAAATAATCTATACTAATATATAAAGAAAACTTGGTCTCTACTTTTTTTTTTTTACCATTATATTCTTTTTTTAAAAAATTAGAAAAAATATTTTTTAATTAAATTTAAAAATTTAAAACTAATGAATTTATATTAATATATAAAGAAGATATCATTTTTAATAATTATTTTTTATTTTTATTTTTACATAAAGCATTTTATTATTTATTTATTTTTTAATAACTATTATTTTTATAAGTAATTTCTTATTTTTTCTTTATTTATTTATTTTTTAATATAATACAGGTATGGAGTGTCTTTTCCCCGCTAGTAATAATAATAATAAAGGTTTTGTTTATTTTATGACTTTGAGGACAGTCAATTCATTGATCCTTTTTATATGTATAAAAACAAATTAAAAGCTTTGTACGTGTCTCATAAATTAATATATCAAGTGGAGATAAATATAGAATTAACGAAAATGACGGACTTATATATTATATGGGTTTTTGACGTTTATAGCTTGTCATATTCACATATGACTTCTTACATTTAAAAAATCGGTATTTGATATATTTTTTTGTCCTATGGTTCTATCTTTAAGAAGTTCATTTATTTTTTATTGAGTAGAAAATCATATTGGTTACTGCACCAAACCCATGAAGAAACGAAAAATACATTATCATATAATGATGCACCACTAAAACGTAGAGTTCATCATCATAGTTGTTCAGACGGGTGACATATTTAATTCAATTCTAAAATATCGTAATACAATATGAATGTTGCTTGTATATAAATAATATATATTTTGCATTTCGTTAATAATATTTTCAATCGGTCTCAATAGACAATGAACGATCCACCAGGCTTGTAACGAACCCCGTTGGCAGAAATGTTTTATTGATAATATACTAAATAAGTTAGATTAGGTTAAAATTTGAATATACAAACTAGATCTATTTTACAAAATTATAATTTAAATATGATCTATTATTTATTATGATTTTTTTTTTAAGTCTGACTTGATCTTCTTTTTCAAGTATATATGGTATAATCTATTAATTTATTTAAAATATTTATGTTAATTAGATCAATAAAATATAATTTACTTAATATTATTAAAATTTAAAATTAAAAAATATAAAAAAAATTAAATATTTTTTGTTGAAAAAATAATTCATATATAATCATATATATTAATATATAATCGTACATAAATTATAAACTTATAAAGTTATAATAAAAAAAATAATTATATAAAAAATATTTTAAGTATTGATAATTCATTTTAATTTTATTTTATAAATTTATTTATATATTTAATAATATATATTAATTTTTTATTATATTACATAAATAAATAAATTAATTTATTAAACTTAACATACTTTTTTATAAATCTAAATTTAACCTTTTTTATATAAATAGATTTTTTTAAAAAAAATTAAATCTACCACGCTAATATTTACAAGTGTTAGGCACAAGTTGTGCGGCATTTACAAATGTCAGACACAAGAAGCCTAGTAACCTTATAAATTGATAATGATATCTATTAATTAAAATATAGATGATTTGATAGTGATAAAATGCCTACAAATCACTTTCATGCAATTACTGAACTGATAAGAACAGATACTATACTCTTATATAATAACCTTTGGAAAATTAATATATTCTATGCATGTTTGATGTGGACCAAGATGCTCATGGAAGCAGAAAGTCATTACTCGTACTGTCTTTTTTCCCTTTTCTTTTTATATGGGATGCAAAGCTAAGACTATACTAAAGGTGATTTTGACCATACACATGCATTGTTAACATATTTAAATATGTAAATTTCCTTTTGTCGAAATTTTCAAGGATTTCACAGATATAGTACTAGCAAATTTATGTAAAATTCTCCATACTCGAAAGGGGGTAGGGGAATTAAAAACAAAAGTGGTTAAGAACAAAATATGTATATTTTATTTTAAATATGCCCGTATTAATATAGGTCACTTTAACTTTTAAAATATGGGGTAGTGAGTGGGGGTATAAAGGCAAGCTGTGTGTTATATATTGGTTGGAATCATGTGAGATGAAGAAGACATAGGGCTTCTGCGAGAGTATTGCCCCACCTTTTTTCTCTTCTAACCCTTTCCCCTTTTTGTCTCTTTTTCTAGATTCCCATTAAACACTTAGCATAAGAATATAGTGGGTACCGGTCATTGAATAATTTTACTCACACATGAGTTATATATACAAAGTTGTTAGTTTTACGTAATAAGCTAATAGAAAAATCATAATTATATATATTCTTGAGGAATTGTATACCGCATTAGAGGAATTGTACCCATCATTAGTTGAAAATGATGAGAAACCAGCTAGCTCAACTCATGTTGATATCTATATATGATATATCCATGACACTAAGTAGGTTCAATTCAATCAAATCATGTGTTGCTCTCTTTCGGGTAGGGATCACCCGCTGGATCTTGAATAGACGGTGATTGAATGCATCAAATCGATGAAACGGACATATCTCTGTTCATATTATTAATAAATGTACGTAGTGGAGTACATGTTAAAATGTCGTTTCCATGGTGGGAAGGAGGCAAGTTCAACACCAAATCCAATCCTGGATCAGGAGAAAATGGTGAAATTCAAAAAGACCCAAATGCCCTTCTTGTGTGCTGTGCTGGGCTGGGCTGAGCCCCACCACCACTAGTGGGGCATGGGGACTTATACTCCCATCACAAATCAATCAGCAACTGTGATCAAATACATCCTTTTAAATTGGACCCACCATAGAGAGAGACCCAACTTTAATCGAATCCATCGTGCTTACTGCACCCGCGTGCACCACAAACTATTATCCGTACGGAAAAAAGATTTCAGAAAGTTATCAACATTTTTGATCTTTCACTATATACTTTACAGTTACGCCACTTCAAACCGTTTTCCACGGATCCCAATATTGCTTCTCCTCTGTACGGCCACTAAATGCAGCTAGCTTCTTCCAATTACACCGTTCCCAACTTAGGATACAAATTTTACAACAACATGCTACTACGGAACTGTGCTACAACAAGTCAACAACCACTACTATATATGTGCTTATGCTTTGTATTTCAAATTTTCCTAAGTTATGGTTTGTTTTAATGGAAAAACAAGTAACTTTTTTTACTTCAGACCATATTTAATTATGATTTTGTTAAATATATGTTACTTTACATTCTCCAAATGATAACGATCTAAACATTTATAAAAAAAAAATCATTTTCTGTTTTTGCTTTAGGACAGTACAAACAACTAGTTGATTAAAGTAGGAAAAAACTTCTTTTTGTTCCCATTCGCTTATTTCAGTCAGTTAAGCTCCAAGATTCCATGTGAAATAAAAACTGAGTGAGTGCGTTTAATCTTTCACAGTATGCTTCACTTCTTTTCCATTCTTTTATTCTCTCTCATCCTTGTAACACTGATCTGTCCTTGGATTAAAAAACTTGTTACTTTAAAAATGGTTTATAAATATGTCCAACGGTCATTTTGATAAGTATCACGAACATAAGTTTTTTTTTTTTTTTTTTTTTTTTTTTCTCTATCCATGGGAATCAAACATATATAATACGAAAAGATTTATGTACCCATTCAATTATATGAATTAGACTCACTCCTTAATAACCTTCAACTGATTTAAAAATTAATAAACCACAAGGTTTGGAAAACTGCAAAAAAAACAGATAGAGCAACTTCCGAAGTATTTTCAGACTATATATACTACCGAATTGGAGTGAAGGGAAGTTGAACCTTTTTTTTCTTTATTTGAATTTGGTACTTCAAATGCTTTCTAAATCATGCTAGTTTGAACTATTTCTTAATAAAAATTACTATAAACTAAAAATAACAGGATTCGAATTAAAGAAGAAAAACGATATATCACTTGGTTAATATAACATTTTCCAATGAAGAGATTTTATATTTTTTTTGCAAAATACACAACAGTTGGCAAACGAAAAGTATGTATGGATAGTGACAGCAACTTATGAGCCATGCTTGAAATATATTTATTTTGAGATTTTTTTCGTAATGATTATAATTAACCACACACTGGGTGGCACTGTATGCAGGAAGAAGATGATATAATTTAATGCGCGAAAAGTTAAAATAAAATCGGGTCACATCAGTATCTAATTTAACAAGCATTTCCCGAGTGCAACGGTTACACTGTAGGTCCACTCCACAACGTTAGCCAACAAAGCAGGGATGGTATATGCTATGCTCCATTACCCTATTTAATTAATTTATACGGAATACCCTGATACTGACGTAACGTAACCCTTATTAAAGAAATACATTTTCCATAAACAAAGGATTATACATATGTTATATTTATTTTTCTGTATATATATATATATAGTAAGTAAAACATTTACTACCAGTGACATGACCTGGAATATAGAGTATAATAAAAATAAAAATAAAAAAACACAAAAAAGATATGGAATGCCAATGCCATAGTGTGTGGTGCGACCTTTGTATTGTGTGGTGTGTATAGATAGATTCTCTCTCCAGGCCTACCTCTCTAATGGGTAGCCGCCATGGCTACCGGCAGGGGGGAAACTTTCCGGGAGAGGATTCCGGCGGGGAGGTGCGTTTTGGTGTCGTCGTAGAGGAATTTGTGGAGGATGAGCAAGGTGTTGGAGAGGACGTGATCGTGCCAGGCGTCGCGCGATCCGAGGAATACCTCGGTGGCGTCGAGGCGGTGCATGCTGCGTTTCCACAAGGCGTGCAAGCGGTGAATCTTCTGAATCTGACGGTTGGCGAGCGTGCAGTTGTTGATCTTGAGGCTGGCAATGGCAGCCTGGAGGAGTCGGTGGAGCGTGGTCTGGTCGGCGCCGGAGGCCTCGGCGGCGAGAAAGTGGTCGAACTCGGGGACCCCGATGGCTCTCCGAATCCCCCTGGTGTAGTCGGCACGCGGGTCGAAGAACTGGCGAACCTCGTGGAGCTGGCCGGCGTCGATCATGCGGTCGACACGTGCCTGGAGGGAGGAGTGGAGAACGGGGAGAGCGACGTCGACCCAGAGGAAGCAGCAGTCGTACCTTAACCTGAACTCGGTGTGGTGGTTGACGAGCGCGTCGAGGTAGGAGTTGGAGCCGCCAGCGATGATGGGTAAGCCGTCCCTTTCCACGATGGAGTCGATTGCCAGCGTGGCGTGGCGACAGAAGTCGTTGGCTGTGAAATTTATATTAGGGTCCACAGTGCCTAGCAGATGATGTGGGACCCCCAAACACTCCTCTTCGCTCACCTTGTTCGTGGTGATGTCAAGGCCCTTGTACACTTGCATTTTGTCCGAGTTCACTATCTCCGCTGGTTGAAAGTGTTTTGCCACGTCGATGGCCAACTTCGTCTTCCCTGTTCCCGTCGCCCCCATTATCACCACCACCTTCTCCTTGCTCCTCTGCTGAAATAACGACTCCATCCTTAGTCCCTTTTGTATATTTACTAGGGGCAGCTCTTGTTTGCAGGCACACACTGATGATATTGACATCTTCATCTTTTAACTCTACCTGCACACTTCACCAAACCATTCCCTTCTTAATTTACTAATCCACCCAATATGAAAGAATAACACACACACAACAACAATTATTTGGCTTAGAAACAGAGACGTTAAAGCAGCAGCCTAGCAGGGGATATATAGGGTAAAAATGAAATTAAAAAAGGTAAGAGTACTTACCGTCCGTGTGAAAGACGCGGCCAGAGGAATTGAAGATTATATTATGTGTCGGGTTGGTTGTTGATTTTTGAGAGAGGAAATATTAAGGGGAGAAGAAAGTTCAAAGTTTGCGGGGGAGGGAGGGATTGTCTGGCGTAGGAATCCACACCACACTGCTATTTATAATTTATAAAAGGAACACCTTCGGAAGGGCCCGCACCTAAAAGCTTTACCCCTTAAATTCCCTTCTTCACCTCCCAAATCCCAATTTATTAACAGATAACAACTTACTAATACAACACGTAACAAGCAACGTTACCACTTTATTATATATATGTTGCGCCATCAAAAATATCTTTCAAAATTAAAATCACTCGCCCATATATCATATATCCATATTCAAAACTCTAACGTACTTATTTTCTCTTCAAATTTATATACTTTTTATTGGATCTATTCAAATTTTAAATTTACACGATAATTTTTTTTAAAATTTTTTTTTGGCATAATTAATCATTTTAACTTTAGGTACCATAGATATGTTTAACCCTAATTACCATAAATATGTCTAAACTTATTTGCCGAAAATATTTATATGTATATGTTTTAGTATGAAAAACACCTTAAAAAAAATTCTAGCCAGTCATTCATATTTTTAACACTATAAAAAGGTATAACTAACTTGCTATCTCTAGGTTCTAAAAGTATTAAATACGAGTTTGACTGTGTTCAAAATTTGGTTTCTATAGCGATAATTTTTAAAATTATCACATGATTACCTTCACCCATATTACTGTAAATATCTCTGACCTTAATTACCATAAATATATCTAACCTTAGTTACAATAAATATTTGTAATTTTTATCACCAAGCTATCGGTCTTGTGTTTTGGCCAAGTTGATAAATAATCCATACAATGGTTTGCATATATCCGGTTATAACAGTTTAGTCCAATAGATTTTTGGTCTACAGAGTACAAAACTCCCAAACTTAACATAAATGCGAAGATATTGTTCATAGGATTAACCGACTTCACTTGCACCGATCAATTTTCAGTTTGTAACATACAATGTACATTTTAACTCTCATATAAAAATATATACTTTTACAATATGTTAATTTGACTATTTTACAATATGTTACTTTCACACACACGCGCACACATATATATATATATATATATTCAATGATCCAAGAATTATAAAAGGTAATCTTAAGTTGTCGATCAAATAATGTTTATATAACTAGTTACATAAGGAGTAACCTAACAAAATCAACAAGAAGTCATTCATTGACATGGCCTCACAAACCGCAACTTGCCTCTTGCTAACTTTGCCTTGCTCTCATGTAAAACATGGGTATCACAATTCAACCACAAGGAAATATGTGCAAGGAGAAGCTAGGTTCAAAAAAATATTTATGCAACAAGTATAAAAGTAAAAAATGAATATACTAATAACCAACACCAACATATAAACCAACAATAAAGAACCTCATGGTCTAATACATATCAATACAACAAAACACCTAAACATGACATTCAATACCTTACAAAAGTAAACAACAATTTCACCAATACATCAACAACCATGCCATTCAACAACCAAAATAAGCAGCATATGAACAACATCAATAACTACCACATCATATGCCTAACACCTCAACTTATGCATTGTCATGCATTTACCTACGAAGATTTCCTACAACAAGGTAAACAGTCTTAGTAGCTTAACCCTACTAAACCAACATGACATTTTTACATCTACTAGGTCAACAACTAAATTGGGATACCAATTTCTAACAACATAATTTCTCGGATGTCGCCACTTAAATTAGAAAGTCTAATGCTCCTATCAGAGTAGAACAATTTGGGTATGAGTCTACCACGATGTTAGCTTGAAACACTAAGTCCCCTATGGAATTAGCCCATTAACTACCTCAAAATACTATGCCCTTTAAATACTCAGTTAAGGACTAGGCTCCCAATCTTGTACCTTACTCAATTAGTCACTTTATACATGTATGCCTCGATCTTGCCACATACAGATCAACAATGACAACTTGTAATCAATATAGCTCAATCTGTCCCCTCTACTATGGTCAATTATATCCAATATGTCTCAACTTGACCCACATTTCGCATCAACTAACATCTTAAAGGAGACTCGATTATCCACTTCAAGAGTCAATACTAAAGAATGATTTTCAACAATTGGACTCGTAGAACACCACATCAATATCCTCACAATGAGATATCCAACTTTTGGAAATACCTTATCCTCTAGTCCTAAGTTGATCCATACAACACACCCTAATGCTTAAATGCCTTGAGCACTCACAGCATCATCACATCACCATTCAACAATTAATCAACATGACATGCCTAAATATGCCTAAAGTATTCTCAGCATCAATGCCTTAATAGTTCAACAATTTAACAATATAACATGTCTAAATGCCTAAAACATTTTCAATATTAACGCCTAAAAAATTTAACAATTATTCAACATACTACATGTAATAGATTCATCTAACTTATTCATGTTTAACAATTAATCTTATAAACAACAAGTTATTATAAGGAAACCCAAACCCATGGCTACTCAACTTGTGCCTAGTGTCATTGATGATAGAAGTCTTATGCGTCACCCACACCCAATGTCATTCAAACAATGCCAAGTGTGGATGAGGTAGTGACCCTTGAGCCCTCACGCCTAGTGTGGCAAAGTTTCACGTTAGTCCCTATTCCAAGCAGAGAGGAGCCTTTCTTCTTACACTCGATGCAACGCTTTTGGGTGCTTGATGCCAATTTTGGTAGAGATAATTCTCTCATCTCACGTCCAATATCATTCAAATTATGCCTGGTTTGACCAAGTTAGAGGTTATTCTCTCCCCACGCTCAACGACACCAATCCTATGCGTAGCGTGAGCAAGACAGAGGCCTCTTAATTTGAGTCATGCCTGGTGCCATAAAGGCATGCTCGACATTACGATGTGTTATGCATTTTGCAGATGCTCGAATTTGCTCACAACACCTGAAAATCAAAAAATTTCCACATGCAATGCAACAATTTGTATCTATACATCATTCCCAACTCATTTTCAACTAAGGGTGGCACATCCAGCAACATCCATGGTAGAATTGTTCAGATTTCTTCAACATGCTTTCCACACTCAAAACTCCACCTTTCATCATACAATCCAAAAATTCAACACACATAACCATATTTTGATATTAATCAATCAATATGCAAATCATACAACTCAACACAAGCAAGGTTTTAACTTCCCTTACCTCAATACTCCAAGCAAAGAGAGGAAGAAAAAGAACTAACTCCAAGCTTCTTCGGGGAAACTCCTCGCGACAACACCTCATATTCACAATTCTAAAGTCTTGAATCAACATCATACCTTAAAACATTATAGATGTCAGAAATTTTTTCTCTAGTTTATCTTTTTAAGATTCTTAAGAACTTAACTTATAAGACTTAATTCTTAAAAGAAATCTTTTAAACTCTTTCCTCATAGTCAAATCAAACCTTTATCCAAAGAAATCATCTAAATCATCTAAAAACTCCTAAAAAAACTCCTTAACCCCTAAAATCTGTCAACATCATACCTTAAAACATCACAACATATAATTATTACTAAAAATAATAATTAAAGAAAAACTTACGATGTTACATAATTCCCTTTCCTTATTCATTTTGTTTACTATATTATTGTATTTGTTAAAAAATATATCATGGTTATTTAATTAACAAAAGATTCAGTTGTACGTTAAAAAAAAGTAGTACAACATATTTGCATAATAAAATGCATTTCAACACAAACAGGCGTTGCAAGCAATTAAAAGGACTCCGCTTAATTAACTGGATCCCACAATCAAAATAATATTCTCACTCTTCCTTTTTTTTGTTAAATCATGAATCTACTTGAATTGTGACTTATATCATGTGTGTACAACAAATATTATCCCACAATATTAGTTGGTGTTTATACATTACTTTTTTGTGTTTTGTTTTATTAAGTAGATTTTTGACATGACAATATATTCTCGTTGACTATTTTATGACAAATTTTCGTAATCTTTTATTTGAATAATTGATCTTAAAGATATATATCGCTCAACCTATTAAACTTATTTATAAATATAATATCTATTTAAACTCTATTGCGATAAAACTTTAGAGTGAAAAAATATCATATATAATAATTTTACTAGACTAAGTTTTATATCAGTCGAGTGTCTAATCTGTTATTCAAATACAAATTTTTTTACATATAAAAATATAAAACTCTAGTTATTTCATTTTAATCATCATTTTACGATCTATTATGTAATTAGAATTTCAAAGATAATGTAATTATAAATTAAAAATTCTAGAACCACAATAAATTACTAGAATTAGTCTATCGATTGAGAGAGAAGATAGAAATAGATGTACGAAAATATAGATTCGACCCTCATTATTGTTATTATAATAATTTGCATGGATAAAAAAATCCGAAATGCATACAAGTAACGCGATTATCATGTACAATTACAATTATGCTAAGGAAAAAAGCTAATTTTTGACGCATATTTTTCAATGAATCTATATCTATCGAAAAATATATATTAACGACGAATATTACCGACGAATTAAGAATCCATATATAAATAAAATTTACCAACAATTAAGAATCCATATATAAAAAAAATTTACCAACAGTCAATACTCGTATTCAGAATTAGCACTCGTATTCAAAATTAGCAGGCAAATGTAGAAGCGAAAATGCACTGATTGAAGTGGAGTAATTTGGATTTGGATTGCTTATTTTTTGGAGTATGAACCAATTAGGTCGGGAGTGCATGACAACGTCCTTGTAGCTTATACATATTTGATGTAACCCCACTTCTTATTAATTATAATGGAAATACAATCATTTTGTTCCTGAGGATGTATATACATTATTGAACCCTGTTAAATTGTTGTGTGTGTATTTTTATTTTTTTTAGAATTCAATTAATATTGTTAACAATTGGTATCAGATGGTGTTTAACCTTGGTGACAAATTTAAAGTCAAAAATTTCAATGGAAATATGGAACTGAGAATTTCATATTATGGCAAATAAAGGTTAAGTAGGCATAAAGGGCTTTCTAGGCGCTACATCAGAATAAAC